GACTAAAATGGCGTTTACAAAACATGTTACATAATATACTATTAATTGCATTACTATTTAGTATTATTTTCCACAAGATTCATTTAATTTGCCGAAAATAACATCCAATAAAACATGGCAAATATTTTCCAATCTTGTCAAATATTTTAGTGAGAACAATAAAGAAAAAGATTTTATTTTCTCCCCTTCCATTTTCTCTATTTTCTTTGGCATTTAAAATGTTTGAACCCTGGATACTTTAGCCTTGGTTTCCCTTATTGTAGTAAGCCATGGGATATTACTTTTCTTAATCGAATGATTTTTGCAAGATATAAACCACATAAATTTAACTTTACTGTTATTAAAGGTAATTTAAGTTAAGTTATGTTGCTTGCATTTATTTATTAACCCTTATGAAGCTCACTTATCAAATTTTCATTACGTAGTATTTTTAGTATTTTCGGTTTGGTTTATTTTTAAATTAAATCAAATAAATCAAAAACAAAATGTGGTAACATATTTTCGATAACCAATTTGTATTTTTTAATTTGTAAAAGTATTTTAACACGTACAAATAAATAGGTATGTTTTTTATTGTTTAAAAAAGTTTCTCGGAAAATCTTTTCAATATATGTTTAGCCATGGCGTGATAAAATTCCATTGGGTTATAAATACGCACGTTAACTTTTCAAAAACACACTTTACAAAAAGAATTTCTAACTTTTACCTTTTATTTAAATTAGTCATATAAAAGGTTAGAAGTAAACATTTTATTGATCTCCGAGGGACAACAAACTTTTTATACTACCGGATTTAAATTTATAAAGAAACATTTAAAAATCGTAAAACACTTTGTAGTCATTCAAGGCAAGATACCTTCCAACCTACTTTGATAAACTTCAAAGGTTACCTTTAAAATTTTATATCTTTTAAGACACAAAAATGTTTTATAAAGTGGGTGTTGTTTTACATATAATATGTGAAACAACACCCACTTCATCAGTATACTGATCATATTTGGTGGTCAATATAAAAAAAATATTTTTCTACTCCCACCTTTAAAACGCCCTTTATCGTACATGTTTCCATGACACTAAGTGACCTTTTAAATACACATTGACAAGTTGTGGCTTTATGGCGCTTTAGTCACGGGCTGAAGTTAGTTTTAAGTGCCTTTCTTAAAATAATACTAAATGTGAAAATTATTTTATTATCTCAATACAAAAATACAAAAGTATTAAATAGTTTCTCAACTCCAATATATGAAAAGTTTATATGAACATTGTACTGACCTTTTAATTTCGCCGGCAGTAAACTATAACTTAAATTCGGGCACGGACTCCACTGTAAAGTCCTCATAAAACATTTTCTTTACTTTCACTGTAAAAAACTGCCAATTTTCAAGAAATACATTTCGATTTATAACCTTTATAATCTGTGTTTATAAAAATGTGACATTTGAAGGTGACACACTGATTCCCCTATTGTTTCATAGATGGCGCTCTATACAAATTTTTGATTTCAATTATTTTAAGATAATAATAAGTATTTGTCGTAGAAAAAGTATAGTATTCACCTCTTTTATAAACTTTTCTATACACTGATTAATTTAAACACTCGCTCGCAAGCTCACTCGTGCCTAAATTAAATTTGTGTATAAAATGGCGTTTATCAAACTTGATACATAATATACTATTATGGATGGTGTAAGAATATTATATTAATGTTAATAAAAATCTTTGAATAGCTTCTTATTATCACTTCTTTAACACAAATATTTAGTAAAGCAGAAGTTCTTGTACCGCCTTAATTACTTGTGATTAGCAATCAATCAGTTCATTTGCATTAAAATTATGCCGTTAGGGCGATTAGAAGCACTTTAACTTGAGAAATTATTTTTTTCTGAAAATATACCTATCCAATAGCAAAACCCTCGCTGGGTTTGTAAACGTTAGCTCGAATTTTTTTTATGGCCGTTTGTATTTTCGAGCTTCATATACCCCAATTTATACGATCGATTTTTTCGCATATATTCGATTTACATCGCCAAGGTTTTCTATAGAATTGTAGTTACTGAACAAAAAAAACCATTTTGTGAACAACCTATATCCCAAATCCCACGGGTTTGCAATTTTTATGACCAAATATTCGAAAAAATATATTTTTTTTTTAATTTTTCGATAATATTTAAAATTTCTTGCTACTTTTTCTATATTTTCCAAAATATTCATCTTATCACACTTAACACCAAATTTTTTGCCAAAATCTTTGGAAAATCTGTAGGAAAAAATTGAATTGATAAAATAGAATTGTAGAAAAGTATAGAAGAGTTTGATTTTTATTTTTTATTAATTTTATTATTAAAAAACTTTTTTATATCAAAACATTAAGTAATCTGATTTATTGCTGGAGACTTTCATCCCTTCCACTTCCATCTCTGTTTTCTTGTTCTTCATTTTCATTTTCTTCCTGATCGCAGTAAATAATATCTTTACTCCATCAAAATGTTTCGGCTAGTATGGCTGCCATACTATGGCAGTATGGCATCTGGAGCTCGTTTTTCTCTGTATCTGGACTGAAATGGCATCGCAGTTTGATGATAAAGCTCTTCCTGCTCATCTGATTCTGTCGATAACTGTAGATTGATGTAGTATGTTTACATTCCTAAAGTTAGTACGCTTAAATACTTCAATTTATTTAAGCTAAACTCTATAAATGCTCACTTTTGCTTAAAAACACAATTTTGGTACCCGCGTGTCAAAATTATCCTACGTTTTCCAAGTCATATTTAACCCAAATAGTTTGTAATATTTTTTTGTACACAGTAAAAAATTTTGCCCGTGTACTTTTTTTAGTGTAGGGGTAAAAATATTAGAGTTGATTTGTAAGTGTAAAAGTTACACTACAAAATACGCTATAGGTAGCTTTAGTGCTTATTAACTTTATTAAACACATTTAAAGAATATGAACATTATTCATTGGTACATTCACACTATTTATTATTAAAATAAATCAAAAGGGTAGAAAAACTTAATGCGAGTGTTTATTACCCCTAAATGTGTTAAATAGTAACAAAAAGTAAACTACAGTGCATGCCAATTTTTTTGTCTGTTTTGATGCTGCTAAGGGCTCTTTTTTCTTTACACTACTAGTGCACATTGTATCACAATTAAAGTTAAATTACACCAATAGTGGCAAAATAGACTGAAAAAACTGGTAATAACCGAAATGCCTTTTAAAATGTTTGGTTGGTACCTATCTACCTACGCAGTGTATATCCCGAGATACCGCGTTGTGGAAGTGTGGCATTTTTGTTCAGTTAGATTTTGGTAAGTACACTGTTCAAAATTTCATGACCATTTTAACACCAAATTAACACCATACGTGGTCTATATCGATACAAACCAAAATGGTGTTAAATAAGGTTCGTTGGTCCGGTGTAAATTCAAATACTAAAATGGTGTTAATTTAACTTTCACACAGTATTAAAATAAATTTTACCTGGTGTAAATTGAACTCCTTTTCAGTGTTAAATATTATGTGTTTGTGGTCAAATTAAATCATACTACACAGAAAAAAGGAAACAGGAAGTTCCTTGACGCATTACTAGTATATTATTCCAGAAAATGGAACCTTCAATTCGCTAGAGATAATGTTTTTAGTGCATTCCACTAACTTAAAATACTTCAAGTATTGACAGCTGTTTCCACCTATTTAAGGTCTCTTTAGTATCGAACAACTTGTAGTGTCACACCAAAGCAAAGGACCACCTGAGTTTATATATTCTTCATGTAAGTCGACAGAGGCGAGATTTAAGAACATCACGTGATCCACACCGCCTTTGCCGCGATCGGTACACATTTTCAACCATAATTCATGGTGTTATATTAACACCACTTGATGTTGGATTTTGACACCATTTTAAGATTACTTTTTACACCACAGATGTTTCAAACAGTGTATTATACTTCCTTTTTCTTTAAGCCTTAATACTCAATAAATACCAATATGTTAAAAGGATGTCCATACCCGATCTATATTATATATCAATAATTTACGGCAGTAGGTCGGGAACTTGTAACATTACACTTGATTTACTTTTTATTTTCTTGCGTAATGGTTGTTAAATTAATCTATACCTACATTTTTATTATGGAAAATTTGTACACGTGTGGTAAATCCCCGACAATGTCGGGCCGACATACAGCCGCCTGACGCCTCTCTACCAATGGGATTACCCATTTTTTATAAAAATGGATTACTGATGAATTCTCAAGATAATTAATTGCTTACAAGTTGACAGCCAGTAAAACATTGCATTGATCTAAAACTTTTACGTTTTAAGGAACCATTAAGCCAGCCATATGACTCAAATATAAAATTATATTTTAAAAGGCACCGAGTTTGATAATTGTCATAGATTTTTGTTCCAAATAAATGTTTCTCTTTATTTACCTTTTCCTTTTATTCACTACCACCAATAGGTTTTACTCAAATAATAGTGTTAATTTACACTAGAAGTTTGCACTAAAAGAGTAAAAGTACCTTTCTAAAATTAGAACTTTTTCAATGTAGTGTTAATTCACACTGAACAAAAGTGGGATTTTACCCAGGAAGTGTAGAAGAATCGTGTGATTTTAGGTAAATTAATACTTTTTAATACAGTGTAAAATTACTTTATCCTTAGTGCTATAGTGTTAAGTCATACTTGCTTACTTAGGGAAAATTACACTACACACAATTATACTACACTTAGTGTGGACCTGTGTGAACTTTAATTAGTGTTGCTTAGAGTTGATTTTTTTTTACTGTGTAATATTTAATTATAATGTATTTTTGTAACATTTCGTAAAAAGCACTAAAAAAGGTATTTATTATTTTTTACATTTAAATAATATTTTGTTTATCATTCAATAAAAAATCCATGAAAATAATAAACATTTATAAAAAATTATGTTGACAAATATAATTAAAAAACTTATAAATGATGTTTGGATCTATAAACTGCTGGCAGGTTCTTTATGGCCTTATTTCGAAACGAAACAAACTACCCGTTTTGGGATAATCCAGAAACGAAAGAAAAAGTAAATTGGGTTCGCGGCAACAACAACACGTGGAGTTTACTACTTCATTTGGCAGGAAGCGCCACCGATGAAAACGTTTTAAAACCGGTCTGATTAATTGCGCCGAAATGGCCTAGAAAACCAATAAAACACAGCCAGCCCGGCCGCAACGGACTTCGCTTTATGTCGTTGCCGCTGTTTGACAGTCTGGCGGATATGGACACTTCCGGCCTGTCAACAAAGCAGATCCGGCAATCTCTACGGCCACCACAAAATGTTTTACGTCAAGATTACTAATGTTCGACCGAATATCTTTACGAACAGTTCGTTAACGCCCCAAAAGACAATAAGCACTCAACTGCTCCTTAACTTTAGTCCTAAGTTTAGACCAAAGTAAATTATTTTAATGATTAGTAGATACCGGATCCTTTAGGCAAAATATCTATAAAGAATTTTAAAATGCAGTTTAAATAAGAGTATGTTTTTGTCACAAATATTAATATTAGTAAATTTTAACCAAATATTAACCAGGTTCACATAACATTATGTTAAGTTTACAACCAACTGTACACTGTTTAAAATATCTGTGGTGTAAAGAGTAATCTTAAAATGGTGTCCAAATCCAACACCAAGTGGTGTTAATATAAACACCATGAATTATGGTTGAAAATGTTATATACAGCAAACACCAAAACGGTGTTTATCTAAAAATATTTGAGAAGTGCACCTACACAGAAAAAAAGAAAGAGTTCATTTAACTATATTAATTTAGTTGACCCATAAGTATTTATTTAAATCAACTGTGGGAAGGTTAATATAAACAAAGATTAGTTTGACGGTACTAAACCAGATAGTTATTTTATTTTTTTAAATTGGTTAAATTAACTCAGAAAACTTTAGTGAAACCAACCCGCTGTATGGTTCAGTTTACTAAATATGTTGTTTGTAAAATAAGAGTTAATTCAACCTAAAGCACTCTGTTAAAACGATTAAAACAATTTGCCGTGCATTCCTGGTTGCATAGTGTGTACCGATCGCGGCAAAGGCAGTGTGGATTCCTTGATGTTCTTAAATCTCGCCTCTGTTGACTTACATGAAGAGTTTATAAGCTCATGTAGTCATTTGCTTTGGTGTGACACTACAAGTTGTTCGATTCTAAAGAGACCTTAAATAGGTTAAAGGTTCAATTTTCTGGAATAATACCATTGGTAATATACATGTAATGCGTCAAGGAACTTCCTGTTTCCTTTTTTTTTCATTTTTTTCTGTGTAGTATGATTTAATTTGACCAAAAACACATAATATTTAACACTGAAAAGGAGTTAAATTTACACCAGGTAAAATTTATTTTATTACTGTGGGAAAGTTAAATTTACACCATTTTAATATTTGAATTTACACTGGACCAACGAACCATATTTAACACCATTTTGGTTTGTATCGATATAAACCATGTATGGTGTTAATTTGGTGTTAAAATGGTCATGACATTTTGAACAGTGTAATCTGTTAACTTATTGAATAGGTAGTTAAGTCAATAGTATATGCTTTTGTAGCAAGACAAAATTTCTTTCTTAGAAAGTTCCTAAGGTTTTCAATAAAGAAATGCAGTTTTCTAGTTAAAATCCCATTTTTTTGAGAAAAAAACGTTTTTTTTATTTAAAAGAGAAACATATTCCGAAGAAATTTTTTGGTTCTTGGACCAAGAAATCACTTGCTCTTTATTTAAGCTAATATTGTAATATCTTTAAACGAATAGATTAATCTCTACCCTCAAGAAATTTTAAAAAATTGATGTGAAGAAAGTTTCTGATTTGGATTAAGAAACATTGTTCTTGGCCCTATTCAAAATCGCAAATCTTTTGAATCAAAGTGATTTTCATTTTTTTAAGGTATTATTTTTTACCAGAAATCTGTTATTATTGTTATTCGGATTCTTTATACCTGAAGTGAATGTGTGAAGTGCGAAGTATGCGAAAAAAGATGCCATTTCCGCTTTTCAAACTGAAATTACACAGTGAAGTAAGCAGAAACATAAGTTGCAGACGCTGAAGTCAGTTGAACACAAAACTTTAGATAAAATATTTTTTTTGTTAAAATAATTACAAACCCTGGTTTTCTACAAATCTGATTTTTAAAACAGTGTATTATTGAAGGAAAAGATAAAAAAATGTGTAAGAATTTAAAACTGTTTTGTAAAATCTTGTAGTAAAATTGCTTCAAGTACTTTCAAGGAGTTTTTAAATCATCTACAATCAAATATTTACTCGAATAGTCCATTTGTAAACGAAATAAAAATGTATTTATGGTGCCCATAAACCTTTTAACTCCGTTAACTTGTATTTGCAGCTTTATATTCTCATAAAACACTACACAACAATGGACTAGCGAAGTCGCGTCCTTTTTAAAATTGCATCCCTGCCAAATCCAATAATTCTCATTATGCACGGATAATTGAACTCGGCTGCTGCAGTCGACCAAAACGCGAACGATTTCAATAAGCGATAGATGTAAACACGATTATTGATTCCACGAAACTTTTATTGCAATTTCGTTACGCGATTTTAATAAGGATGAACTTTGTGCTTTTTGAAAACGGAAATTAGAAGACCTACGAGGTTCGCCTCAGTTTTAATGGAATTACGTTTTTAGTTCGCAATACAAGAAGTTGGTTAGCAACCATATTTTAAGAATTAATACAGTCCCACTTTTATTTTTTGAACCGCTGTATTTAGAATTTGGAAATTTTATTGTTAAACAATACATTAAATACTACTTTTTAATGTATTTTTTAAATTTTTAAAATGTTGTGATATACCACTAAGAAAGTATTTGCAAGCTGATCATAACCAACCACTTATTTTTCAGATTCTGTACAAGGTTTGTAAGAAATTATCAACACAAGATTTAAATTTAAAACAACACGTTTTAAAATAACACATTTTGGTTATGAACAAATTTTAGTATGAGGCTCAATATTTGATACACTGTTTAAAATATCTGTGGTGTAAAGAGTAATCCCAAAATGGTGTCAAAATCCAACACCAAGTGGTGTTATTATACACCATGACTTATGGTTGAAAATGTTATATACAGCAAACACCAAAACGGTGTTAATCTAAAAATATTTGAGAAGTGCATCTACACAGAAAAAAAGGAATAGTTCATTTAACTATATTAATTTAGTTGACCCATAAGTATTTATTTAAATCAAATGTAGGAAGGTTAATATAAACAAAGATTTGTTTTTTAAATTGGTTAAATTAACCCAGAAAACTTTAGTGAAACCAACCCGCTGTATGGTTCAGTTTACTAAATATGTTGTTTGTAAAATAAGAGTTACTTAAATCTAAAGCACTCTGTTAAAACGATTAAAACAATTTGCCGTGCATTCCCGGTTGCATAGTGTGTACCGATCGCGGCAAAGGCGGTGTGGATCACGTGATGTTCTTAAATCTCGCCTCTGTTGACTTACATGAAGAGTATATAAGCTTAGCTAGTCCTTTGCTTTGGTGTGACACTACAAGTTGTTCGATACTAAAGAGACCTTAACTAGGTGGAAACACCTGTCAATACTTCAAGTATTTTAAGTTAGTGGAACGCACTAAGGGCCGGTTTTTCAATCGTTGGTTAAGTTTAACTTACGGTTAACTTTCTTAGATACTATTGTGTTAACAATAGTATCTAAGGAAATTAACCGTAAGATAAACTTAACCAACGATTGAAAAACCGGCCCTAAAAACATTATCTCTAGCGAGTTGAAGGTTCAATTTTCTGGCATAATACCACTGGTAATATACTAGTACCTAATGCGTCAAGGAACTTTCTGTTTCCTTTTTTCTGTGTAGTATGATTTAATTTGACCAAAAACACATTAAATTTAACACTGAAAAGGAGTTCAGGTAAAATTTATTTTAATACTGTGTGAAAGTTAAATTAACACTATTTTTGTATTTGAATTTACACCGGACCAACGAACCATATTTAACACCATTTTGGTTTGTATCGATATAGACCATGTATGGTGTTAATTTGGTGTTAAAATGGTCATGAAATTTTGAACAGTGTAATCGGCCAAAACAGGATATTGACTAAAAGAAACCACACCACTACCTACTTCGCTATTATTGGAGCTACAAAGTCGGTTAGATTAGCAAATTGCTGGCATTAGCAAATTGATTGCATTTTTTGTGAGTTGACGGTATCTATGGTAATCTGTTATTGTTTAAAATGTAATGGCGTCAATTTTTCAGGTTGTTATAAACAATTTGTTGACTAAGTTTTTTATAAACAAAATTACTAATATGAAATTGCGGTCAGTTACTTATAAAATAATGGACAAGCCAAAATTTTTTAAAATTTAAAAGTAATACTGTTCAATCTTTAAATTAAACAATAATTATTTAATTGACCTACTTTAGTCATCTAAAGCTACATTTTCAATCAAATCTGAAGCTAGCTTTAGAGTGGGAGTGTGTCGCACACGTAGAGTGGCTATTTTCAACCGATACTCGAACTCCAGCATGCATGCAAAATTTCGCGCCGAATTTTAAATAACCTAGCGCTGCGATTGGGCAATAACAATGTCAAAATTATCTAAATTATCTTTGAGCTGGCCAAATAATCAGAAATAGATTAAAGGACAATATCTAAAGAAGAAGAAGAAATTATCTTTACGTTTGTTGTTTTGGTGTAGTTTATTTGTTAATATGTGTAGCAAAAACCCTATTGAAGTCTTTCTAAATGTCATATTAGGTATATTATACCTATTACACCTATATGCACTGTAATTAAACTATGAGATGCTATGTTTTTTTAGGAAATAACAACTTCAGTCTTTAAAATCAATATGATCTTATTAAAAAACAAAAATGAATGGTTAAATACATGATAAATGTTTGTTTACGAACTTTTTCCTATATTTGTAGTATTAGTACTATTACTATTTCCACAATACAAAATTTAAAACTATCGATAGAACTATCAATTTAATACCAAAAAATAAAAAAATGTTCAGATAAAAATTAACTGAATTAAAAATCACTTCACAAGTCAAAGTTTGATTGTCAAACAAAAATTTGCTGTTTTGTATTTACTCACAATTATTC